CCATCCATGCATTTGTCCTGACTTCATTTACTAGCCTGAACTACCAGAAAGGGACAGTTAACTGCCTTGTATTCATGCAGAGACAGACCCTGGTAACTTCTGGCACCTGCGTCCCAGCCCGCAGTGGTTTTGGATGAGTGGGTGATGAGATCTGCCCCCTTTGCCCATTCCCTGGCCCTCATCATCTCCTAGCCCTGTGGCTACGGATCCTCCCGGCTACCCCATCTTCCTTGTGACTCCCACCGTGCTGTCTGCGCTTCGCCACTGCTCTTCACCTTGGTCAGGCAGTTAGTGGAGTGAGTGTATGGTTGTCCATGCCTGGGTCCTTACTGCTGTGCTTTGACACCTCTGCTTACATCCAGCTGGTGACCAAACACATCTGCCAGCAGGGTAAACACGTTTTCTAGGTTTTAGGTGATTTATGGCTTCTGCTGGCTTGGGTTCCTGTGGCCTGTGAGCATTCAGCTCGGTGGCAGTGCGTGCCACGCTCTTGTTTGAACTCTGGAAAGGGCCATGGGAAGCCTTCCCCATCCCTTCCCAGCTGCTCTCCTCTCCAGCAGAGCTGTGCTGGGACGGGGTGGTCACCCGCAGCCCAGTGTGGCATTTGCATCCCGGCGTTATCAGACAAGACCAAAGGTTAGAGGGGAGGGACACAGCACACAGGTAGCTTGAACTACATGCACCATGCTGTCTTCATGAACATGCTTTTATTGTTGCCTTTTTTTTTTTTTTTTTTTTTTTCATACATGGGAAGACAGGGGTGAATTTAACAGTGGGAAATATTGAAGGGGCTGGAAAAATGTGGGAGGAAAAGGAGCTCTGAAGTGTGGTGCTGCAGTGAAAGAGGGTACAGAGTGGACTGAAGCGTTTGGTGTAGGAAAAGACCCAATTTAGGAACAATTTGTCCATGAAAATGTGACTTTCTTCCCTTTCTAAGGAAGCTTTTTCCCCAAGCTCTAAAACTGACTTTTCTACAGACAACGCTTTTTTCCTTAGCCCTCCCAAGCCTCTGGAAGAGGTTTCTGTCCTGCAGAAGTTTCTGTTCTTATGTTGTGTGCACAAACATGGGGGGAAAAATGGACCCTTGGGGAGCCAAAGAGGAGGAATGATCCAGCACAACAGCAGAGAAATTGTTTGTAGTCCAAAGCATTCAGTTGCTATCTAAGCAATACTTTGTACCACAAACAGATATTCAACTATTTTTTTGCAGATATAAATTCATACCTTTGGTCTGAAGCACTGCTATCCTTTGTAGGTGTGATACTGTAAATCATGTGACTACCTGGAAATGTGTCCAATTATCAGGATTCGATCACCATGGCAAATAAAGGTGAAACCATAATTGCAGGCTCTGCTGCCTGGTGAGCAAAGCTCACACAAGGTGCCACCGCTCTGGGCAACCAAGAGCAAAAGGTTCCTTTAGGCAGTGTGTCAAGCTGCTCACAGGTTACTCCTAATGAGTGATTAAATTATGAACAATGTGCTAAGGGGACCACAGGGGAGGAAGTTATGCTCCCCTCTAATTATGGAAGGGCATTTTAACAATAGATTTGGACAAAGATCAGGGGAAAAGCAACAACTCTTTATTTATAGGTCAAGGGTTTTTCACTAGGAAATGCCACAGTTAACAAATGTGTGATATCCTTGCCTCTGCAGCACGGAAAACCTCTATTGGCATGAACCAAGGTATTCTGCTGCCTTGATGCAGGATGCTGCAGCAGCAAAATCTGTGCCAGAGTGGCTATAGGGCTTTCCTGGGTTCAGGTTGTGGGACTGTTTGGGACTGTCTGTTATTCTCGGGAGGTGTTGTCCTGTTGATAACCTAAAGCTCTAAAACTAAATAAGGAGAATTTTTGATTTGTTTTTGAGTGGTTTCAAAGGTTTGCAAGTAAGCCACAGTCAGTGATGATGTAAGTACGGTGTAAGTGATGGAGAACCTCAGCCTGCCAAGCCTGCAGCATTAGCTCCATTCACTTCCCAAACGACCACAGATTATACAATGACTCCTTTTTGGTTTCCACCATGGAGAGGTGATCTCCCTTTACTTTTACAACGGTTGCCTTGCCTGTAGATCTTTCTCCCTGTCATGCAAGGTTCACAGCGTAAGAAAGAGCTGTTTACCCTTCGAGCCCTGCCCATAAAAATTTTCCTTTTATTGCTTTGCCTGGGTTTGGCAAGGGTGAGCTCTCCGCAGTGACCTGCTCTCCTGGCATGCACTTGCTTCCCAGCTGAGTGTAGCTGTGTGTATATTAAAGGTGAAAACAAGTTGTATTACAACACAGAAAAGACAGCTGAAGTTTACTGGGTTTATGAAGAGCTTGATTAGGATAAGCAAGTTCAGAAAAATCCAATGTCAAGGTTTTAAAACTATTTTCATCGCATAGCTTATGCAGGAGGTTTATCCTAAAGAGCTCATGGTGCTCCTCTGGGTATGAGCAGCCTAAAGGTCTCCTTAGTTTGCACTGGGAGAGGAAATGTTGCTTCTACAAATCCCACCCGCCCCAGAGGTGGTGGAGGAGCCAGTCGGGTCAGGCATCGACAGGGCACAGCACCCTCAGGGGCTCTGCTGGGGTTTGGCAAGTCACAGCCTCCTGAGCTAGAGCGCTCAACTCAGCCTTTCGCCCCCCCCCCAAGAGTTCAAACCAACATAAACCAACAACAGAATACTTTGAATTTGGCAGTTCTTCACCCAGTGAAGCAACTGGATAGATAAATTCCACCCCGTCGTGGGACTTCACTGCTTTTCACTGGCAAAATACCTCATGTGCTGTTAGTCACGCAGGTCCCTTGGCAGGTGGATGGGGAAAGCATCTCCTCTGTCCTTGGGAAAACACACTCAGAGCTTGTCTGTGGCCCCTGGGTGTGAGACACTAGCTGCTGTTTTCTTCTGTCTTCAAATCTTGGTCAAACCTTTTATCAGTGACAATGTAAGTGCTGTTTTTTCGTATCTGAGCATAACTGTGAAAAACTCGCTCCTCTTAATGCATGAATGGGCAAATTAATCTCTGCCTTATTTTTAGCACTGTCTGCAGCTTAGAAAGTTTCCCTTCTCCCTCCTGACCCCTCCCCCTGTGTGTAACAAGTTCCTAAATGCTATCTCTGGCTGTGTCCATGACACTGAGCTGGTGTCCCTGGGTGCTCAGAGGTGGCTCTAGACCCAGCACCCAGCTCCCTGGCAGTAGCTGCTGCTGGCCCGGGCGTGGATTTGATCTGGTGGGTGATTTTCTTGTGCACAGACGAAAAAAAATGTCCCTGCTCCAGATCTGCATGGGGTACTTGTGCAGGATTTTTGGTGGGTGTGATCCGAGGCAGCCCTGGTAAGCTGGGGAGTGGAGCGGGGGTGGTCCTGTCTGGCTGGATCCCTTCCCAGGAGGCGGCCAGATCCCCTGCCAGGGAGCGTGACCGCTGTGGTGGGGACAGCAAGGTCATCACCCTCCGGGTTGCCACCCACACAGGGTCAGGATGAGGCCGTAGGAAGCTGCTCTCTGCCTGCTGGCACCTGGAAGGGTGCTGCCCGCCGCTGCCCGCTTTGGCTTGCCCCGGAGATAGGGCCAGTTAATGACTAACAGGAGCTGCGGTAACCCTGCCCAGCCTCTCCCTCCCCGGGGCTGCCCATCCACCTTGCTGTGCTGGATTCAAGCCCCACCGCTGCCTGCTTCCTCCAGCACTGAATTTGTCCCTTTTCCCTCGGTAAACCCTGCATCTGTCCCCGTGTGTCTGCAGTTCGAGTCACAATAGAGCCTGTGCCGAAGGCGGTAGGAAACGTCTGCTTTGTTCCAGCCCTTTGGGTTGGGTCTTCCTCTCCCACAGCCTGATAATCTCCTTGGTCCACCCTTGCTTTTGCTCAGTGAATGAAGTTATTCCCCAAAGGCCATCACGGCACGGCTTTGTTCAGCACAGGGGTTTTCCAGGCACTGTCAGATGCCGGTGGCTGCAGCTGGAGACACATTGCATCAGCCAAACTTGGCTCTTGCCTCCCACCCCAGACGATGCAGTAACACGTCAGGCCTTTCCAGCCTGAAAGTATGGCAAATGAATAAAATATACAGGGGAAAAACCGGCTTGCTTTCCCTTTGCTTTCTGAATTGTCCATTGTGTTTTCTTTTTAGGCAAACATGAGTTATTTAGCTAGGTCTTCACTGCTGAGTTTCTTCTCGTAGCGGCTGATGGTGCTGCTGGTAGGGACATTCATGGCAAGGACTTGTTTTCTACTAGCAGAGCCTGTAACCCTGCTCTAAGTTAGGTCTGACTTGCAGGTGATGGCAGCTACATGGGGCCTGGGCTTCCCTTCCTGGGACAAGTGGGATTCCACCCAGCAGCTGCACTGGGAGGGGGATGGGGGTAGGAAACAGGAGCAAACTGTGCTAAATTCCCTCTGCTTTCATGACTCATGTAAAAAACCCCTCTGAGTGTCTCTGTCAACAGCACAGCTGTTTGGGTATTTTCAAGGAATCTGGATTGCATTCTCAGAGCTCTCCCATGAGAAGTAGTAAACATGTCATATATAAAACACTTTTATTAAAACAAATATACAACATGTTATATACAAAAATAAAATGTACAAGAAAATAAGTCTATTACAGCTTAGTGATTTGATTCCTATGTGTTACACATGAACTAGAACCTCTTCCAGCCTGCACTCTCCTGCACGCGCGGGCCCGTGGAAGGGCTGCGGGGTGGTACAGCTCGCTGCATACAGTACTGGGGGGATCCTGGTAGAGTGCTAGAAGGGATCTCAGAAAGGCATGGTATAAATAAACAGCTCTGCCCCTATCAGTGCAAAAATTGTTTCATGCAGCATCTTTTCAACTATGATGTGGAAATAGATATGGCATGCCTATGAGCAGATAACATCCTATGAGTGGACCTGGGTAACTGTGCTGTGTGGAAGCAAAGCCTAAACTGAATTTTCACATTTTATTGGTCTAAACTATTTACACAGTTGAAAGATCTGAAAGATGAGCTAGGTGATAGAGTAAATCAGAGAGGAGGCCAATTAGTGCAATTTTTCTAAGTGTAATGACAGTTGTGAAGCTCAATGGCACCAGTGTTGCACAGGTAAGCAGCAACCAAAACTTAACAAGTAAGAGACTCCGTTGCAGTGTCTCTCCTGAGCACTCCGTGGGTAAAAGTGCTCGTCCTGTCCCATGTGGGAGGATGGTAACGGCCTCCCCAGGGCTCCAGCACCCGACGCCGTTCAGCCGTACCCCACAGCCCCTCGGCAGCCTTCCAGCCGTGACACGGTGCGTGCTGCGGCCGAGCATCTTCGGTGCCAGGAGTCCTGCTACTGAGATGAGAGTCCTTTTATTTTACTTATACTGGAGTCTTTTCTTGCTAACCTTTTCAGGCCTAAAAGTTAAACGGAATATAAAAGCTACTTTCTTTGTTCAGTCAGTAACAAACAATTTCTTCCATTTTTTTTTTTTTTTCAGACTTGTCAAGGTTTCTACAGAAGAGCAGTTCGTGGTGGGAGGACGCCAGGTTTACAAGCCACAGGGAATGACTTGCATGGTAGGTCTCACTGTGTCCAGCCAGGAGAAGTCTAGGCTGGTTTTCTGGTCGAAGAACCTGAACTCCAGCTCTCCTAGACAAAATAAAACAAGGATGAGTACTGAATCACACGCAGCAAGAGCAAAATATGTGTATGTGTGTATATATAAATATATATATAAATATATCAATAATGGAAAGACATCAGATGTGAGTAAATACCTTAAACTAATATTTTGCTAAAATGCTCAATACTCTCTATTAAACTGTCGCATTTAAGCTATTGCTGGTGGAAATTCTTCAGTTGCATTGCAAGGAGTTCCTGAAAGCTGGCATAGCTTACATGTGTATAACCCCAAGACAAATCTGTAGTATACTCTTACTGGAGGCATTTTTCTCCTTTCCCTTTTATGAAAAAATTCCTTACAGCCTCCCGCCAGGCTGCTTAAAAATCTCAGAACACAGGGATGTGTGAATTCATCTATTTGCTTTGTTCCCTCCCAATTAGCCTCTTGCACAAAACCCCTCGCCTGCACTGTCCTTGACCATCAGTGATAACCGAGGAGGCCGTACCCGAAGTCGTGTCGATCTCCCCATCCTGCTCCTTGTAGCTGTAAGTGCTGCACATGGTCTGCGCGCCTGGCTCGTTGGTGAGAAAGCCTTTCCCCCCGACGCTGGTGGTGTGCCAGTCCTGGGCTGGTTCAAGCAGCTGTAAGAGAACGAGGAGATGGTAAAAACTGGACCTTCTTTCCATGGGTGCAATGTTTTATTCCTTTCCCTGAACTAGAAGGCAGGTAAGCAAAAAAGATCAGATTGTATCTTCTCATGCTAAATGCTGTAACACTTGTTTTACTCCCAGTTAAAAAAAAAAAAAAAAAAAAAAAAAAAAAAAGTTAATGCAAAACGGAGGGCTGGAGCACCTTTGGTGATGAAAGTCCCACCTTATCAGTGGGATTAGCGTGACATGTCTGCAAACACAGATTAAGCGCCATACATGTCAGAGGTGGAGGGAAGGGCAAAATAAAAATGTCTAGAGAACGTTTGCAGCTCTAATACAGCAACTTCTACTTATAGCAGTACTCAATAGCTTTCTCTGACTTTCACATGAAGAGTAACTATTTCCATGGATGTGTCCTCTCCAGCTCATGTTTGCAAAGTAGCCACCTTTTTATGTTTAATTTTTCAGGCTTCCTCATTAAATAAGGGTCTTGGATTACATAAACGTACATTCAGCTCTTATAGGACTGGATCAGATAGCTGACTCCCTTCCTCTCTTAGTGCAAACAGCAACTTTGGCCAACTTTATTCTAGCCAGAAGGGCTGGTTTTACCTTAAAAATCTCCGAATTGATTTCCTCTTCATCTTCATCTGTGACTGTTTTGTAAGCACATTAAAAAAAAAAAAAAAAAGAAGAAGAAAATATAGATGTCAGCTCCTCGCATGTTAGCCTTCACTTCTGCTTCTTTGCCACACACCCCACTTCACATTCTCTTGTCACACAACACCACCGCCTTTGCCTTCCATGCCCTTGGGTGACACCGAGGAGCGGCTCACAGGTTTGAGGCAGGGAGGCCCATCAGCAGCTCCGTGCCCCAGATTCCCCCCAGCCCTTCATCTCAGATCCTCTTCATCAACCCCGTGTTGGGGTGCCTGGCTCCAGCCAGCTCCAACACCTCCCAGGATTCACCAAAGCAGAGCCCGCTTGCTATGCGGGAGGAAGATGATCTTCACCCCAAGTGAAGAACAACTCCTCTATATCCATGTTATTTTTTTTTTATCCATTGGGAAGCGTGGTTACCTCCTATACCCAACTCTGTCCTGCTTCTGGCCTCCCCTCCTTCCAGCTGCCTTGGGAACCCCCAGTCCCACCCTCCCCGCTCAGAAATCTCTCTTCTTTATGGGCTGACCTGTCCATGCCACCGCGTTGAGCCTGCGAGACAAAGCCTGCCCCTTTGCTCACATGTGCAAAATAAACGGCATTTTGGAGCCTTCCACCCCTGACCAACTACGTCTCCAGGTGGCACATGCCCTCCTGTAACCTGGCCACTTTGGTAGCTCCAGCCACCCAAAACCATCAGATGGAGGTTGTTTGTTTTGTTTTGGTTTTTTTTTTGTTTTCTACAAGACAACTCCTGTTTCTCCTGATCCCCCTGGCACTCCTTCATCCCGCTGACTCGCCTCCAACCAACAGACCAATGGAAGACCGAGGCAGGACAAAATAAATACCCACCTTCCGAGGATGAAGCCAGGGGAGACACCTGGAGCTGGTAGAGGTCGTTGGTGCTGTCAGCCATGGTGATCTCCATCGGCGGCCTCCAGTCGGTCAGGGAGCCGCTCACCTCGCACGGCGAGAGGTCTGCGGGATGCATCAGGACGAGTTGGCACTCAGGAGAGACACAACCACCTCTATTTCCTCCCTGCCCGTCTGACGGCACAGCCGGGCCCAGCCCCAAGAGTCAGCTTTGTCTTTTGGTGCAGGGACTGTGGGTTTAGCACAAAGGGCTCTTTCCACTCCGCTCAGAGAGCTAAAAACTGAGTCTCACCTAAGGTGATGGACGTGCTCTCAACCTCCACTTCCTGTCCCGCGTAGTCATGAACAGTGTAGCCGCTGTGGTCATCTGGCAGAGGAGTGGTGGTTAGTCTTTCTGCTGACTCCTCCGTCCTCATGTCTTCATACGACTACAGAAATAAGGGCAAAGACATGAAAGGCTGGCCTAAGAACACAAGTTCCCATATGAAAAAAAAATAAGCACAAAAACCACTAAAACCTCTAGCTTCTTTAGCTGCCTCTACACACACATACCTTTCTCTTGCTCCTGTTTCTTGCTTCTCTTGACGACTTTGACTTCCTTTCTGTTAAATAAAAATAAGACGAACGTGAGAAAGGGCTGCCTGGCTGACATTTTAGGCGAGCATGAGCTCTTGCGGCTTTGAGCCCTGCTTGGCAAGCTCTGCCACCGCTGTCAGCACCAGCGAGTCCCGGTCGCCTCCTGATGATGCCTTTAGGCACATTTGAAGAATCTGGGATAAAATGAACCCTTTGTACAAACTGTTACTGATGGCAATAACCAGTGACTAACCCCAGTAGCACCAGCATTACCAACAGGTCTGTTATACCCCTGCCTAGGAGGAGCAGGAAATTTAAATGGCATTTAAACATGCAGCATAGCCCAGGCTGGGTTGCTATGGACTTACCTTTCTTCTGATCCTTTGTCAGGGGTGGCAGCATCCTGTAAACCCTGACAGCACTGGAGCCTTTGTTGATGCTTTTATCCTTCACTTCTTCGATGTCAGGCAGTGAGTTCATAGCACAGCGGAAGTTCGCCTTCCAGGTTTTCGGATCAGGGTCTTTCTCACCTACTTTATACCTTCCTGTAAGTAAGAGATAGGGTGAGTGCATAGACTTTTCAGTGCTAGTTCTTCGCATAAAAAAAAAAAAAATCTGAAAAAAATATACTAGTAGTTAATATAGCTACCTGAGGTGTAAATCAAGACAAAAAAATGCTTTACTTGAGACAGTCATAGGACTGATGGAAACATAAAGCTAGCACACACCTGTATGAATGGCCCAGCTCCGGAACAGGCAGGCATCTTTCTCCATGTCCCAGCCATGCTTTGCTGCATGTTTCCATGGGATTTGAAACATCATCTTATCCTGAAGTAGAACCAAAAGAGAATTCAATTAAAAAAAAAAAAAGAAGCACCTCTTGCCAGTTTGGAACGATGGATTTAATCAAAGAATTCTCAATAGCAGCTCAGAAATTTTATAAATCCTCTGCTCTATATCTTAATTAAACATCCATTGTTCCATCTGTTTTGTTCAAGGCATTTAAGGCTTTTTATGATTTCTGAAACTGGGGAAAAAAACCCCACAAGTGATGCAGTACAGTAGAAGTAAACTATATTGCCAATTTTATCCCAGGATCATTTAAATACATTGCATCTAAGCTATTAGTATGTCATAAACTACAGTGTATTTTCTAGGTAGACACTGGCAGAGAATCCCTTTTTAAGGTTGCTCATAAGATCTTGCAAGAACCCTAAGAAAAAGATGTCCCAGCTTAAACATCACCTTGGGATGGATGTGGAAACTTCAGAGAGAGAGACCCGGTTGAATAAGCCTAGTGACCCCCCCTGTGCTGCAGGTACAGGGATGTGCCTTCCGCACCAAAAAATACCGCATTTCTTTCAAGCCAAATCTTCAAACTGGGAGCAACTGGGAGTGTAACAGTAGCTCCTTAACTGGGAAGGGAGGTGACTTGGCTCAATTGGGCAGCAGGAGTTAAAAGAGATCTTGGAGTTTTCTTGGTTCTCCATCATGCTTTTATTGTAATTTATCATTTCCCTTCTGCGAATTTTCCCAGGAAAAAAATGGAGCTACTACATTGTGTACCAACCAGAGCTACCTTTCCTGAAAACAAAAATAGTTGTTTTCTAAACACAATGTTTCCAAGTTTGCTCCACGTTCTTCTGTCCTCTATGATCTTGACTCCTGTTTAGTGTCATCTAAGAACAAGGATGCTTAATGATCCAGAAGTAAGAATAATAATCTTCACAGCCATAAACAACCCTCACCTTGTTAATCCATATCAGTCCTGGAATTTGATTTGAATTAATCTGCATTTCCAACCAGGGCCTCATGCGCATTCTTGACACTGGCATGTTGTCTATGAAAGAAGTAACAAGTCAGCAAAAACCTCATCACTATTTTAGCTATTCTGCAATGTCACCCCTCCCTTCCCCTCCATCCCATGAGCGTTACTGCTCCCCATGCCACCAAAAGGACTTTTCCAGGGCCTGAACTCTTTTTGAGCATCCCCCTGCGTGGAATCCTGGGGGGTGGGCTGACCACGGGTGCTCGGCCCGTGGCGCGTGGGGCAGGGCAGCCCGGCCAAAGGCCAGCACCGTTTTCCCGTGGCTACGGGTCTCCCCGCGGGAACACCCACACCCCCCCCCCCTCCGCGGCCACGCAGAGGCACTGACTGCACAGCCACTTTCTGTAAAAGTTTATTATTAATTAATTAAACTGCGCGAGGAGGGGAGCCGGCCCTGCGGGGGAATAGAGGGTCCCCAATTAGCAACGCACCCGGCCTCGGAACATCCGCGCTCCGCGCCGCGGCCGCGCAGGAGACGGCCCCGCCGCGCAGCCCTCCCAGCCCTTCCTCTGCAGAAATAATTTCCTGTTTGCGGTGGTTTGGTTTTTTTTTGTTTTGTTTTGTTTTGTTTGTTTTGTTTGGTTTTTTGGGTTTTGTTTGTTTGTTTTCCAAGACAGACAGACCAACATGTCCCAAACAATACATTTCGAACTTTCAGCAGCAAAGCGCTCGGCGGTAGCGATGGAAAAACGGCACGGAGAGTGCCCGTCCCGGGGCGGGGGGGAAGTGAGGCAGGGCTGCCCCCCGTGGGGATCCGGAGCCTCGCGGGGATCCGGCCGCGGGACTGCCCCCAGCGGGGATCTGGCCCCCGCAAAACAGCGGAGCCCGCAGAACCGCTCCCGGACATGCCCGACCCCGCCGGGGGGGGAGGGGAGGACACGCACCCCGCCTCATCTCGTCCCCTCGCGTGGGTTGGGTAAAGGACCGTGACCGCTGCCCGCCGGCGGGATGCCTGGCACCCACCCGACGGCTTGGTCTCCGCGTTCCGCTCCGCGTCCGCGAAAGCCACCGCCTGCCCCCTCTTGGCGAGCAGTGCCGCGTCGCGTCGCGTCCCCGCTCCCACGGAACCCCGCGGGGGAGCCTTTCCCCCTGTACCGCGCAAAGCGGGGAAGAGGGAGGGAACGCGACTCACCTCTCGGTGCCGAGCAGCGCGAGCTCTGGGTCGCAGTGTGGCGAGCCGAATTAAGCCGAGCCTAACTGAGCCGAGCTGAGCCCTCCGCGCCCGCCGTCCCGCCTCTGCCGCCCGCGGGGCGCGCCCTCGGGTATAACGCAGCAGCGCCCGGGATTCCCCGCCGCCCCGGGCCCGGCCGCGGCTTAGCCAATCAGCGCCGCCGCAGGGGGCGGCCGCGCCTCCCATTGGCTGACGCCGCCAGCATCACTTCGGGGAAATCACGCTGTTGTAGCACCAGCGGCGCGGGAGGGGGGGGTGGGGGGGTGTAGTCCCGCCCCCTCACGGCCCCGCCCTCCACCCCCCACCCCCCCTCCCCGCCGCCGTCCTGCGTGGGTGGGGGATGAGCCTCCCGGGTTCCTGCTGAGCCCGAAAGCAGCGAGGGGATCCGGCCCCCAGCGACGGGATTCAGCCCCGTCCCCACGGAAGGATCTAGCACTCATCCTCACCAAGGGATCCAGCCCTTGTCCCCACCAAGGGATCCAGCCCTTATCCCCATGGAGGGATCCGGCCCCCATTCCCATGGAGGGATCCTGCCCCTGTCCCATGGGCGGATTCAGCCCCCATCCCCACCAAGGGATCCATCCCACAAAGGGATCCAGCCCCCATCCCCACTGAAGGATCCAGTCCCCATTTTATAGATGGATGCACTCCCTGTCCCACTGAGGAATTTATCCTCTGTCCCACCGAGGGATCCACGTCCCATCCCACAGAGGGATCCAGCCCCCAACCCACGGAGGGATCCAGCCCCCATCCCTCTGAGGGGCTCAGCCCTGGTCTGTGCTCCCCCTGCGCAGCCGCTGGTCACCCACATCCCAAACAGCCGAGGCAGCACGGTAATCCCAAGGGGCAGGCTCCAGGACTTCCCACCAGCCACTCTCATATATTCGGAAAGGAAGTGAATGAAAGGCAGGGTCTGGAGGAGGCTATTCTGGGTCGGGTGGGAGCTGGGCCAGTGGCTGGGCTGCTCCCAGTCAACTCGCTGCAGAGTGTTGAGGAACTGGTCCCGGCATTGCCGCGGAGCAGCCCGATTCCCCCCGGTGCTGCCACGGGACCCTGGATCCGTACCAGCTCCAAAGGGCGAGCTCTCACTGTAATGAACAGGGAGGGCCAAAACCTTATTTTCATTTATTTGGTGTTAGCAATTTGCAGGTTTAGGAACAGTCCTAAAGGAACAGTCACTGTTTGTAGAAAGAAGGTCAACAGAAGAGGAAAATATGTGAAAATTGTGAGTGATGCTCCTGACCATCTCCTCTGCGTTTATGTGCTTAGGTGCACCGTGACATGCACAGGAATTGCCTGGCCTCAGCAGACCACTTTTCTGGTGAGAAGTGGTACTACAGACACTGCCTGGATGTGCTCTGTTGGTTTGAAAGCCTCAACAGTCAAACGGGATTCCTCAGCCTAGTTATAGCCGTAACAGAGTCTGTTTTCAGTGCCTTTTCCCAGAAAGCTCCCACCTGAGATCTGGTCTCAGTCGCTTTGCTGCAGGGGTTTAAGACTTCCAGATGCTCTGATTCCCCAGCACGCGTTTCCCATAGGTTGTGCAATAGCTTTATAGTAAGACCACCCATCCTCAGTGTAAATGGCAGGAGGTGGGAGGCAGGGCAACGCCAGCATTTTGCAAAACCTGGGAATGTTTTTTCTTCCATCTTCCCCTGTCCTGGGCTGCGCATCGGGCTGGGCTGATCTGAAATAGAGGTGTTGGGAGACATAAAGGGTGACACTGGTATCGTCTGCTCCTGCTGCTCACAGAAGAAGCGAATGGAAGGGCAATGGTGGCACAAGAGAAGGCTACTGAAGCCATCAGAATATCTCACCCATTCACTGGATCTGGATGACAGTGAGTATAAGATTTGCACCTAATGTCTTCAAGGCATCTTCAGTCCATTATTTTTAGCTATTTCCTTTTCAATACTTTCAAGGCAGGTTTGATGTCACATGCAACAGGAAGGTGTGTTGGGAGAAAGGTTGAAAGGTGTGTGGGCATCCTCAACAAACAGCGTGACACAATCACACTGCCTGCCTCCACTGGCAAGTTTTCTCCTTTTTTTTAACATAAAGATTAAAGCCCCAATTTGGATTTAAGTGCAGAAAAGCACCCTGTAGGTGTCTCATGCCTTCTCTAAACTAATTTTTTTGTCTGCTTGACACTATATTGTGGTAGCATCCTCTAGTCAGGTATTTGTGCTGGGTGAGGCACCATTCACCAGTGAGCTTTCAGTGTGGAGAAAAATACAATGTTAGGTAAATTAAACAAATAATCAAAGAAGGAGAGTGGCACACAGACAAGGTAGGGACAGCACTAGGACATTTATAGTTCATAGTCTGTAAGAGGGCATAGGTTCACTCCTCACTGTAAGGTGTTCAGAAATCTAGAGTAATAAGAGGTAACACAAAAGTAGCCTGAAAAAGAGATGGCAGAAGGAAGGTATTTGAAGGTCCAGTGCAAATGTCATCTACAAAAATAGTCACGACACCTCTTAGACAACCTAAATATTGACAGAAAAAAAGTTTGTGCTGTTGTTGCTTTCAAGCTCCAGCCTCCCATGGTTTGTTTTTACTCCCTCGGCCAGCTTTGAGAAAAATGAATTGTGAGCTTCCTGGTCTGACAGGCCAATGTGTGTATTCACTAAATTTATCTTAAGTACTGTAAATGACTACATTTTGAACAGTCACTTGTTTGATATCCGACTTCAGCACTGTTATGATCCTTGCTGGCTATTTTTAGTCTGTATCATCATGAGGAATTGGCACCAGAACCAAATATATAGACTTAGAATAGAAATGCACAAAGGGAGGTTAACAGTCCCAGCCCTAAACCTCCACTTCTTTCCCCTGGTTTAAATCCATACAGATCCTACTCAGTGGAACTTAATTGACCTTTATATCCACGTTCTGTCCCATAACTGCACAGCAAGTTTCCATGCAACATGACCTGCCCAAGCTAGGATGCCTTATGTTTGTTTGCTTCTTTGTTATCTCCCAGCTGAAACAAGGAAATAACAGCTTGTCTCTCCCCAGTGTTATTGTGTGTCAGGCTCTCCTTACACTATGGTTACAAAGCCTTCTCCTTACAAAACTGATTCCTTCCTCTGATTTATACTGCTACACTAACAATCCTGTTAGCAGTTTATGGAATGTAGCAAGAATATGCACTTCAATTTGACGGGTACTTGTATAAAAGTATGAACAAGGAATAATGAGAGCACCTCACAGGTGGTGTGGTTGGTCAGAAAACCTTTCTGCTCCACCCAGTTTATCACCCAGCAAGAATTTCCATGAATGCCAACATCTCAGATGCTCTGCAGAGCTGTAGCCCTGCTCCAGCTTTATTTCACAGCAGTCTTGTCTCACACACTTGCTTGGCCTTTTGGCTCTGAACACCCTTTAACATCCCCCCTTTTCCATATCCACCCCCCATGATTTGCCAGTCCTCTTGTTTTAATGGTAAGTTGAGACACAGAGAAACAGATCGCTAAAATATTTTATTACATTTGCCCAATCCAGGGACATCCCAAGTCTGGGGTTGTTTTCCTAATGCAGAGGAAGTATTTGATAAGGTTTTTATTTAAAACCAAATCAAATCCCCAACTGATGCTCCAGCAAGTGGTATTTGCTATTCTATAATGGGCATCTCTCCATCTCAGTCAGTAGTGCCCTGAAGTAAGATGCTCCTGGAAGACTGTATTTCAAGTAATGCTAAAAAGCATGAACTGCATGGCATCAACCACAGAGCTACTGGCGTAGCTTACAAGAAGGGAGCGTTAGGAATTGGGCATACAGGCTCTAACATGGTTCTTTGTTCCCTGTCTTCACTGCTATGCTTGGTTAAGCAGCTCAAGATGGCTTCAATCCTGCACTATATAAAATAAATCGTGGTTAATATTGAACCTTGTGTGCCGTGAAATGGGCAGTTTCCAGCCAAATCAGCTAACGGCCCGGCTGTCTCCTCCCTAGTGACAAGTGGCACAGACCTTCTCATCTGTGGGTACCCAGCCTGATGCCAGGGCTGCTCTGAGCAGGTTGGTTTTCTGGCAGTGCAAAAGGAGCATCTTTTCCACCTTCTCTCTGCAGTGTTCTTCCCTCCTCGCTCCTTGCAAAATGACCCTTCAGTGGGGATGACACCTTCCATGCTTTACCCCCAGGGCAAACCCACAAGGCTCTGAACATCCAGAAACGCTTTCCTGAGGAGCTGGGGAGTGAAAGGGAGAAAACCAGTACATTCCAGTGCAAAGCTAGTTGCAGAAGTAGGTACTCACTAGGTAAGCACATACGCCGGAGCAGCAGTGTAGGGATCTATCAGCTTTCTGATAACTTCCCAGCCCAGGGCTCCCTTCCAAGCTGAGTGGGAGGCAGATTGCCCTTCCCTAACAGAACTCGATGCTGCAGGAGCACGTGTGTGTGCAGTGGGAAGGGGCTGCCCCACAGCACCTCGTTTAGTGCATGGACCGTGCAGCAGCTGATGCACCAGCCCTGCGCTCGCCTGGTGCTATACGTGAGGTGTGGATAGGGCAGATGACCCCCGGGTTTAAAATCCCTCAGGTGTCTTGGGGGGAAAGAGCTTGAGCATTACACCAAATATCGATGGCAGGTTTTGTTTTGAAGGTTTTCCCTCCCCGGGACTCTGAATCCAACCAGCAGAGAAGCTTCATAGTCAATAATCCCTGCTCCAGCGATGGGGAGATGGGGAGAGGGGCTGTCACAGAAATCTACCTCTGGCAGATGGCAGCAAGCCCCAGGAGGGAGAGGAACCCCAGGTCTGCGTGCCCAGGCAGTATTTGGGGGGGGGGGGGGGAGTGAACAACCACAGGATGGAGCAGGGGTTCATGGAGGGGAAGAGCAGGAGCATGGTGAGAGAGAGCCTCTTATCTGCTTCCTCGCGGCCCTGGCTGCTTCCTTCCAGCGCTGCATCGCGACCTTTCCATGCCCACCAACACTCAACAGCCCTTCCAGACCCCTGCTCTGGTTTGTTCCTCCTTTCTACCTGTTTTAAGAGAAACCTGCTCTAATGGAAATCCTTTCTCATTTTATCCTCCACTTGCCTTTCTTCCTTTTCCCCATCAATCTCAGAAACAATTATTTCTT